CATCTATTTTTGTATTGTACTGACAAGTCCCTCTCTAGCTGGATTTACACCGCGTGACAGGTAAAACCATGACAGGTGCTTTTACTTAATGACTAAACTAGGCTAGTACTAATGTTGGTTGGTTGGCTTCCGAGATCAGCTTGGTACATGAACTCATGTGCTGAGTTTATTTTTTGATGGCAGCAGATGAGAACATCCCCCTGACCTAGTTTGGGCTTGGATGCTAAGCAGGGTCAGGCCAGGTCAATGCTTGGATGGGTAGCTTCCAGTGAATTGCAAGGCTGAAAACTCAACTGAGATATTAAAAAGCATTTTGGTAAATAATCACTGCCAGCCTGTTTAGCATTGTGGACAAGAAAATGAAATGAATATATTCATATGTATATATATAGTATACCAGTGTTTCTCAGCTTTAGCAAATTTACGATGCATAGACTCCAACTCCCAGAATTCCCCAGCCAGCCACACTGCCTGGGGAATTCTGGGAATTGAAGTCCACACATCATGAAGTTCCCAAGGTTGAGAAACACCGCATTATGCATTTACGAGGCCTGAATCTCAAATACAGCCTTTCTCGTTGCAAAACACAAGGCAGGCAGCCTTCCCCATTAAGATACATTATCCTTCTTTAGTGTTGCCACAGTCTTCAGATTTTCCACATTGCCCCTAGCACAAACTCACTGCTTCTGTGACGAGCACCCGCCATGTGATTCTGTGCTATTCTGAAGGAGCAGAATTGCACACTCAGAGGCCTCCCAACAAAACGGGGCGACCTCCAGACTTGATAGAACTATCCCCTTGATAGGAAATGGAGTTGAGGATCAAATGGAATTGACAGCTGAGGTCACTATACTTTGGAGCCCAGGTGGGGTGCCGGAAGCCATTGCCAGGTTGCCAGCATCTCTCACGGTGGCCTGCAGCAAATTACCAGAAGCTTTTCAGGCAGCTATCCGTCAATGAGAAACACTGCTGAGCTAGCAGCTCCAAAGAGCCTTCTTCCTGTCAATCAGAACTGGCAACAGATTAGTTTAGCAGCTGGCCAAGGTCTACATCAGAGGCAGGGAATCATTTTGTGGTTTGGAGGGTTTTGTTTTTAATTTTTTTTCCTTCTGAGGGATGCAGCAATGATGTCATCCAACTGGCAGAAATTGAAACGTTCAGATCATTTCCAGGGAAGATCTGGAGTTTGATAAAGTTTTAAAGGAGTCCTTATTTTAATACAGTGGCGGGGAAGGGTGGGTTTGGAATCATACCACTGAAAAATCTATGTTATGCCACAGCTCCTTCATAACACAGTATGGAGTGCTCTAAGGCAGTGGCCCCCAACCTTTTTTGTACCATGGCCCGGTACCGGCATCACAAAATGATCCACGGACCGGTACCGGCATCAGTACGCACGACCAAGGCAAGGTGAGGCGAGCGACCGGCCAGCCAGCCGTCCCCCGCTTCTCCCCGCCACCTTCAACTCCTCCTTTGTACCTTTTTTGTGCTTTTCGGGCTCTTTCTTAATCTCCTCCTGAGTAACGCGAGACTCTACCGCCATCGGGATGGCTCTTCGTTCGAAGCTGCCCCCCCCCTTCGACGAAACTAAGGTGCAAGGATTCCTTCAGCACCCAAACGCCGCTTTCCAACAACTGATGACCGACAAGCTCACCCGGAAGCACTTTCTCAAGCGCCGTCGAAACAAGATGGCGGCGCCCAAGCAAACCGGCGGTCTGGTAGAAAATGATCCATGAACCACTGCTCTAAGGTGATCCACATGTTCGCATCTGGTTTATGTGTATTATACGACTGGGAACTGCCTTTCTAGCACTAGAGACAGTGGAGGAAGCCCAGCAATTGTCACCTTTTAACTCTGGATTCTACATAATACAGAATAGAATACAGGATGTAAAATAAGAAAGTTGGAAGGGACTTTTGAAGTCCTAGTCCACCTCCCTGCCCATGGCAGGAGATATTTACTCTTTGGTATAAATGGCTGTCCAATCTCGTCTTAAAAACCTCGAGTGAGGGAGCACCCTCAACTTTTGGAGGCAAGCCGTTCCAGTGATTAATTGTTCTCGCTATCAGATAATTTCTCCTTAATTCCAGATTGGGTTTCAATTTACCTTGAGTTCTCTTTGAAAATTGCCTGAATGTTCTTGGGGAATTGACCTCCTTTGGAAGATGCACGGCATGTAAGTGTTCAGTGTTCAGTTCCAATGTTGGCTACCAAACTTCATGGCAACTCTGGATTTCTCTTTTGCTGGCATGATTCATTGCAGGTTTTCCATTTTGTTTACCTGAGCACAGGAGCAGGGAGAGCGAGATCTAGGCCCAGAGGTCAATTTGAGAAGATTGACTATCCGTGGTAAAGAAAAGGTACTTTTCAAATGCTCAGTGGCATTTTCTCTTTGATTGTTCTTTGTAGATCTGAGCATGGAGTTCAAGTATTTCTTTAATGACCTCCAGCACCTTCCTCTCCCTTTCTTTCTTATTTCAGCTGGGTCCATGTTTAGATTCTGTGCTTCCTTGGGGCAAGAACTTCTTGTTCTCATTTGTAGTTTTTAACAGTATTTTTATTTTATAGCCAATGACCAGCTTGCACTCTATAAAACACCATGAGTGCTAAGAGCTCTATATAATTGCATCTAGTCATTAAGACATATGAGCTCTGTCCTAAATTAGGCCTAGTCCATCAATTCCACATGCTTCAAAAGAAATCAAAGCAGGATCAGGAGCAGCTGAAACTCATTTCTCATTCTTTAGAGGTAGCAGGAAAGAAAATCTTTTTTAATCTTTGATTTTAAGAAAGAGTTAGTCTCCCTCAAGTTGAGCTTGACTGCTAGACAATTACATCAGGGAATTTGGGCAGCAATTGGAAAGATTTGTCCCTGCCACAATCCAGAATATTTTTCTATTTTCAGTCTACTGTATAGTCTGGATTCCTGGTGGTCTCCCATTCAGCTTTGTAATCCGGAAAATTGGTCAATCCAGCTGCAACTGTCCTTGAAATACATGATTCTATATGCTCCTTTTGTTTAATCAGGTTTCTGCTCTGGTAACTTGTGGACCCCCTTCCTGTGTGATTCGATTTCCTAAGTCCATTAAAGGGCAGGTGTAAGGCCCAAGGAACCAAGAATGACATGAGGAGTTACTTCTAGGTAATTTTTTTTATTGCTGCTTGCCTATAGACAGAATCTTGCCAGATTGAAGTACTTATCTGTACAACTACTACATATACCATGCAAACTACTGTGTTTGTGGGTGTAGGTGTGTTTGCCTTTGCCCTTTTTCTGCATATCAAAGTTTCCAAGCTTCTTTCCCTGGGAGGGAGCTCTTCTGTCAGGCCCAAAGAACCAGGATCATTCATAAGGCTGTAGCATAGAAGATTTATTCAAGCCTATATGCAAGAATCTGGGCAACTAAAGTTCAGCACTAAATGGGTGCCACATAAGGGCCAATGGCATTCAGGAGGGGTTGGGTGTCTTGTGGCAATGCAAGGATTCTAAACTGATGATGCACTTAACTCCACCTCCCCCCCAGCTCTACCTACTCTTCTTCTACACCCTCCCTCCTGCAACTCTGAAATATATTCTACCACATCAGGACAATTAAACAAGTCACTGCTAAGTGACCTCTCCACTTCATAGTACTTGCTAAAATGAGTCTATTGCTGATGCTAATTAAAATCACATCATCACAATAATTCTTGATCAAGTCAACAACCCTCTCAAAGTAGGCAAAATTAAGAAATAGACACTGCAAGGATTCCATTGATGTGGCTTTATTGTTGTAGGATATGTAAACTGGATTTTTGAAACCTGCCTGTCTCACCCTTTCACAAAATTCTAAATACCTTTACATCCCTTTAATGACAGAAGCTTTGGAAGGACTGAAGCCCAGGGACACAAGCCCCCAAAAAACAGAAGTAGCAAAGATACTGCTATTGTAACAAAGGGAGAGGAGAAAGAGAGCCCTTGCTAATGAAAGGGGGCAGAAGGTCCAGAAGTTGGACCCAGAATTGCCAAAGAGGAAAACTGGCTCATTCAGGTAGTCCTTCAAATTATGAGTATAATTGGACCCGAACGGGGAATTTAACCCATGATGCTCATAGATAAGGCACCTACTGTACATGGCTGGACCTGATTTTATTACCATTTCTATAGTAGTCATAAAGTGAATGCTGCTGAAAGTCTGAATCCATTCTCCCAAATAGATATGATTTCCAGAAATTGGCAAAAACAAAAACAAAAATAAAGAAAAAAACCCACAGGAAACCAGCAAATTGTTGCAAATTGCAAATTGTTGCAAATGTTGCAAATTGTGAGCCTGGGATAACTATGGTGCAACCAATCACGGTAAATATGAGCTGATTGTCAAGCACCCAAAATGCAGTCATGTGACCACAGTGAGTGGGTAACACATTTTACGACAGTCAGAAATGCTTTATGGGCTGTAAAGCACCTTTGCCAAGGCTGTTCTAACTCTGAATGGTCATTAAATGATTGGTCATAAGTCAAGGACCACCTGTAGTTCTCTCCCTCCTAAATTCACATCCAGTCAATGTTGGAATTTGCAAATATAGAGAGTTTGGATAAGTTTTTCAGCTGCCCATCATTCCATTTGTGCAGCTGGCATCTTAATAAATAGCAGTGTTCGGCTTTCATTCATTTAAAGCCAAACATTTTTCCAAGGAAGTTCCTTGTATCAAGTTTGTATCTGCCTGTAAGTGTACGTGTGCATGTTCATGTATAAACTGGTACAATAGCCTGCAGCTATAGAAGAGAGACACCCATCTGAATTTAAGCTGCCTTTAAGATGTGCAAAGGCGAATATCCACCAAGTGCCAAGAAAGCAGCCTTTATCAGGGATCTGAGTTGAACAGCACTGATTCCACTCATTAATAGTTGCACTGATTTGCTCTAGACAGCACCCTCAGAGCAATCCATCTTTGGCCTGTTAAGACATTGGCTCTCTAGACCCGTGATCTCTCCCCACTGCCACTGTAGCTGCCTTACCTTCTTGAAATGCCGGCACCTTCCGTCCTTTGCAGGTCTCAAGGAAAACACCCAGCAGGTACAAAGCGGAAAACAGGGCCCTCCACATTGTGGGTCACGGTCTGTGATCTTGCATCTAAGGAAGCAGAGATTCTGTTGCATTGAGAAGATCGATGTACCAGAACAGCTGAATCAGGACAAGTCATGAATAGAACAATGACCCCCTTTTTGCATGTAATTATCCCAGACCTTTCCCTACCCAGGTAAGCAACATTGATTAGCAGTCTTTAGCAGATATTCAAGGCATCAATCCAGGGAATTTTCTTAGGGCAGAACAGTAGAGTCAATTAACTGGACAAACACATCTAATTGTCCCAACTCAATTTCCACACAATTCTACCTGGATGACTGAGAATCTTCATTAAGATACTGGCACACACCTTGGGGAAGAAACCCAAGTGTAGGAATATCCTTAAGAATTGTAAGAGTTGGCACATTCCAAAGACTCTCTGTCTACTCAGTTGGTCCCTTGGTCTCAGACTGAAGAAGCTGTGTGGATAAGCAGTGAAACGTCTCAAACCAACAAGAAAATAAGTCCAGTTGCCATAACTCAACTTCCAGACAGTAGACACAGTTGTTTTAGCAATTTATGTGCCCTTCAAAGTAGTTCAAGCTAAGAATCTAATGCCATGTAGGAATCCAGTGTGTACTATATCGTTTCTTATAAGGATATAGTAATAGAATGTTGCAAGTCTGGATGTGTTTCCCATCTTCGTGAGAACTTGGGAGGGTCAATGTTTGAAAGGCTTTCTCTGGTTACAGTTTTGGCTCAAACTCAAAATTTCCTTTATCTGACCCTTGCTCTTTGTGGTGTCCCTCAAAGCCATTCCTTTTACTGTCTACATTGGGAGGGTGGAATAAAAATGTCACAATAGCCACGCACATCAAGCTCTGCCCCTTTTTACATGCAACACATGTTAAAAGGGTGTGGGGCTTTGATCACATTATTATGGCTGTCATTTTGATTTATTTTACATCTCCCCCCCACCCCCTCCTGTAGACACACCTGGGAGCAATGCTCCTAAGGCCCCAGGTGTAGTAAAATTGTTTATTGGAACAGGAAAAAAAAACCAATAGAAGGAAAGGTTTACATGACCTAGGATATAATGAGATGGAAATGTTTATATGCATGCATGTGTGTATGGGGTTGTTTCAAGATGTCATCTGGCAGCAGCTTCTTGGAGACTTAAAAAGTTCCTCCTGCTGAGATAGGATGTCTGATGATTTAGTTTGCTGTTTTGCAAAATTAAGCCCCCTTCAGGAGCCACCTACTATACTTCAATGTAATCTTACTTCAAGGAAACCCCCTTTCCCTAGATTTCCCCATTTGCTATGCAAGGAAAAGCAACTCACTTTTTTTCATATATGTGTATGTGTTCTTATGTATGTGTGTGTACATTAATTGATTTCAGGAAAGTCAGTTAAATGTTGGATCTTGTCAGAGTGAATTGCCAAATTTGAGGAGAAAGGGAGCTAAGGGTTTTAACACAGTAGTCCATTTTAAACTTACAAAAAGAAAAATTGCAAATTTATTTGTTTGTTTGTTTGTTTGTTTCCTTCTTTTTCAAAACTGAGGGAAATCTGAAGGGTTTGCTGCATTTTTGTTAAGATATGGAGTTTTAAATATCAAATTAACAGTTGGAGGAAGTGATCTCCAACTGATTTCCAATTTTTTTGACGTTCGCACAGTTGATTCAGGTTTGCTTTGAATCAGGGAAATCTCCCAAATGAGCTGTAGTCTGACCTGCTCTAACTTTCTTTGGCTGTATACAGAAACACTTTGGCATTTTCAACGTGTAGAGATTTTTCATATGATGAATTTAGCACATTGCCGGAATATTATTCTGTGTTATATAAAGAACCACTTTCTTTGGCAAATGTTTGGCAACCAGCATGTTTCTAATGCTATTTGTGCTCATTTGGATTATGCTTTTCCTTAAAGACATCACATTATGGATGAGTTTCATATTTCAAACTTTCTATTAAAAAGTCACATTGTCTTCAATAATATTATTTTTATTATTGTTTTACATTCAGTCATAAATAAAGCTGCAATAAAACCAGCAGTGTTGAAGAATATGGATGCAGCAAATTAAAACAAAGTTCATTACAGTAAAGCAAAGAAATAGGCAATCTAAAATGCCATCTCATTCCTGGAACAATTGTTATCATGCTATCAGAACTTGCAGGCTGAGAAATAAATCTCCCTCGCAAGAGAAACTACATTCAATATCAGTAGATGATTGACAAATACAATATAACCAGATAAGCTACTCCTTTCAGGCAAGAAAGAAATTATATTTATGTAAAAAAATTGTCTACCGTAAAACACAGAAATCAAATCCTGTCTATTATGTGTGTGTATATGTTGATAGGTGTGAGAGAGATAGAGATAGATAGAACTAGATAGATAGACAGAGCTAAAGCGCTCATGAGAGAGAGAGAGAG